TGTCTTTAAATCATACTCTTAGCGTGAAATCTGGTTGAGCCTAGTGGTTACATCTATACGGATAAGATTATATAAATGAATGTTGAAACAATACAATTTCATAGTATTTGTTGACTATTATTCATCTACTAACTGAATTTTAATGCTTGTAGAATGATGGATTAATTATTTTTTCACTAATCGACCATTAAATGATTGCCAAGTTTAACGATTTAGTCAGAAATCGAGGTGTATGTTGCAATACCACAATAACATGATGAATAACAAAAAAGATTGAAATGAGTTAGTAGCGATAACAATAAGAATAAACATTAGTAATATCTTTTAAGACAGTTTGTAAAATGTGTATGAAGGAGTAATGAAATCTAATTTGAAGGGAGATTTTATAGAGAATGAATCAAGGCCATATGTAACTATTTATGAGCTATGTCACTTAAATTCACTTGGTATTGTTTTACTTGAATCTTCCTATTGATGTTTTTGGACTGAAATCGATCAGTCTCTTATTGACATACGTGCATACTGTGCGTATGCCTCGATATTGCCTTAATTTACAAGCATTATAAGCAAACATGGATAGTGGCTAGCAGTGGAATCCAGGACGCGCGTTTCATCCTGTTTGGGAGTCGTCAGCTGGATGTACCTGCATCTGAGTTGATGTTCACTCTGGGACTCGAACTCAGTACCGTTCGCTTCAAACGCCATCGCGTTATCCACTTAGCTACTGAGTCCTGATAGCCACTTGCTTGTGCAATGGGATTCCACTGCTAGCCACTATCCATCTTTGCTTATGTCACTTAAAGTCCGCAACAGTTGAATCCCAAATATTTCCTTGATCGTAACCGGGTAGTCTGAATCTATGTACACAACAGAGACCAACATTTAATAATTTATAAAACTGAGGCCGCATCTTTGTTCCACAGCTTTATCTTCAATAGATGCTCCGAAGACACTTTTAATCAAAGATCTATTACTATCGCATACCTTTCCTCTTTCAAAGACAACGATAAAGTAATGCTGGGAGAGCTATTGAATCACATGAACACCATTTTTTTGAAAGAAGGATATGTCACTTACGCCGCAAGTGATGTTAGGTGGAAAAGCTAGCTGAGCTTTCTGAATTCATGTCATGATTTCTTTGCAAACAAACGTACTAAGAGTGATGAGATATACATTAACAGGAAGAAGCACAATCCAAACACTAGAATTGTCGCGCAAGACGATCGAAATACTCAGCATTTAGTAAACATCCCCATTAAATAGGAATATATCTACGTATTTTAAATTTGAAAGCAAATCTCCTGGCAAAAATCAACTCATTGCAAAATTAGACTGATTACCTGTAGCAACAGATAAACATGTACTAATTTCAATTTCTATATAATGAATAGATTCATTCCTAAGTGACGCTCATCACATACTAACCATTCAATTGAACAACGTTTGAAAAACCGAAAAAATCCATAAATATTTTTTGATCTACTCATGGACTAATCAAGTTACAAATCGTATGTAAACTATTTCACAAAAAAGTAACCAATAATGATAAGAAACATTCGTTTCTACCATTTTTCAGTCTTTCATTCATATTCATTGGTATAACAAATAGCGACTTGAAGTAAATAAACCATTCAGTATAGTTTAGGTTTCGACGGTAGTATAATAACTATGATCACGTCCATATGAATACCGCCTTTATTAAATCACTGATAGCCCCCATATACGGCCGAGAGTGGAGAGAGTCCACTCACCCACACCAAATGCTCTCACATAGTCACGTGCATACAACCCCTAACAGGGAAGTCCTACTCAATGACCTCGCGCACCAGTGATGCTGTTTACGAAATTGAGAGGACGAAAACTGAATGTCCGGCACTTTAACTGACTTGATGGACATGGAGAGTCCACCTAAGGGAGTTGGAACGCCCTGATTTCAAGCCAATGGTGCACATGAGATCCATGATCCTGAAGGAACAAATGGAGTATGAACCTATCATTGGTCACCTGCTACCATGTGACTACATCTCCTGACGTTGCTCCACAACCTTGTAGATGGACCTTTAGGCCGAAGGCTCGTGATATAGCCTTTTAAGAAATCCACCTGCTTCGGTTTAAACACCCGAACAGTATCCCAGCCCTCACACAAATCGGATGATCTATGTGGCGCATATCTATTTGATGCCTACTTGTACCAATATTTGTTTAAATAATAAATCACTGATTGTACCGATAGAATAAAACTGAGTTAATATTTTTCATTATGAGGCAAGTTATTTTTGCTAATAAAAATGCCAATAACATATTCCATGTATTTTTAGTAATGAATAAGGGATATGAAAAAACAATACTTAATTTTGTTCTTTATACAATATAAATATAAAAGATCACTCTGTCTTATGCACAAGTGAGAACAAGAGAAATCATCATTCTATTGACTAATTGAATGAATACATAAACAGGAATTTTATAATTTCTTCATGTATCACAGTGGTTTGGTTGTTGTTGGTATAATTCCCAGTACCATCTATTCAATCCTTTAATCAATGAATCAATGTATAGTCATTAGAATAAAAAATCTTGGTGAATAAAAAAACTTTTTTTCCATATAAATTCTGAAGTAAACAATTAAAAACTTGTTATAACATGCTGATCTATTAAATCTAATGTATGAGTAGTTTTGGTAAAAGAAATGGGTAAATATTTAATTATCAGTGAGCGTGTGTGAGAGTGTGTGTGTGTGTAGTTTTTGTTTCTTGGAGAATAATCATGATCAATATGTTCAACATCTTCAGTCATTTCTTTCTCTTTTAATTTATTTAGGCTACTGAATATATTCATAATGGTTTACTATGAATATGTTCAACATTTGTTTAACTCAAACTTATATTCAACTGAATTGTAATCATTTATTGAAGGATACAATATTGCCAATAGGGAACATTAAAAACTTTGAGAATATTATTGAAATTTAATAAGGCAGTAACTATTAAATTGCTAAAAAGTTTTACATTCAACTAATAGGCCTTATGCTCTAACTTTTGTTTCGTTCAACTTCAGAAGTACGAGAAGGTGAACTAACTGTCATTGATATAGAGTTCTAGTCCAGATTCTAATTGGTTTTTCTTGGGGGGGGCTACAATCATTTAGATGATTGTCGGATATAAGTTGAACGAGTTCAGTTTCATCAGTCAACTATTGCTATCTCTTTGTAATGCACTAGTTATAAATTTTGAAAAAAATACTTGTAGATTTTTTGATTATATGAGGCATCATATGATCCTAGGTATTTGGAGTTTGTACTACAAATTATATAAACGTTATTATTGAACTGATGTTTCCAGTATGGTATATTAGCTATCTCAAACAGTTGACAAATCTATCAGTGTACTATACAAGGCGGCCTGCTTGAATATCTGAGCTAACTGTTTCTGCCATTTAGATATTTCATCATGTTACCTGTTTTCTTGTTTGTTTTAACAGATCATTATGCCTATTAATCGCATAACCTATTCAGGTGTGAAAAGTTTACGACCTTTCGCTGTACAAGTTACAAAAGAGCCCAATCAGAGACATTGTGGTAGCTGACAGTTGACATCGAAAAGGGATATACATTAATCAGATGTCTATTCCTGAACAGCTAACATCCAACTGGCGACCACTCAATATTTATCGCAAAGGTCGATTTGCTATATTGTACCAAAAATTGAATACTGAATAAAGCCACTAATAGTAATAATGATAAAATAATAATGATGTTTATATTTTTATAGTTTCTCATAATTATAAGGTTCAACTTATGAATAACTGAGGTATTCTGATTGATCCCAATTGAAAAATGATATATTATTCAAATCAATTATATAAAATGATTTTAAACTATAGAACCTTAATTGAAATCAAATAAGCTTAATGAACTTTGTTTTTTTCTTCAAAGAATATATAACACATTTATTCAGTATTCATAGGTTCAATATTTGAAATAGTAGCTAAGGTTTACAACCATGATCAATTAGTATTCATTTGGTACTGTTTCGCTTGTATCTTCCCCATTGAGGTTTAAGACTGCAATTGATCAGTCTGTTAATGGCGTATGTGCATACTCTGCGTATGCCTCGATATTACCTTAATTCACAAGCTATCTGTAAGCAATGATGGATAGTGACTAGCAATTAGATTTATATTATTATTATTATTATTTTTATCAAAGTTCATAGTTTGGAATCATTTACAAGAAGTAGTGTAAAAACGTTCCATAGTTAATCAGTTGTAGGAAAGTATAGGATCTATGATATTTGTACCATGGTTCTTATTTTCATATGACATCATAATGGCAATATGAAATTATGGAGCAAAATACCAGAATGATAGAAGTAATAACAGGCATAGTATCAAACATAATAATAAGTTGAAAAGACGAATTCATGGAATAAAAAGTTTAAAATGATTTTGAAAATTAAAATCTAAGGAAAGACAAAGGTATGATTGTATCTGGGCTGTTGTAATCGATTGTGACCCACCTCATCTAACATCTCCAGCAATTGATTACGATAAGTAGTCTAATCCAGATCGTCTGGTTTACACCAACCTAGATAATTCAGTTCAACAAGTAATGACTTTGTTGGACATCATGCATTGTGAACAACTACATACTAGGATACAATTATATCCATTTCACGAGTCCCAAATAACATGAAATTGGCTTTTTCGATGTACCTACTTTGTTCAATTTAACTATATGAATTATTTATGAGCTGATTTTTTTTGCATTATAAACTGTCACCAACTAAAATAGTATAATATACCCAAAACCATTATTCTTGGGTAGTTTGACATTCTTCAACTATGTACAATCACAATTTCAGCCACTCAAGTTCTCTTACTATGGTTTCAACTTCCATTTCATCATAAGAACTACACAGTTCAACAGAACTTAGCAGTCATATTTTTTGAAAAAAAAAGACAATTACTTTTTAAAAAATAAATAGAATACACTAACTCACTTGATATTTGTTGCATGATGATGTATTGAAGTTGTTGTGTAATCATGTCCACAAGTTATTGTCTCCATGATACAATCACGTCTTTTATCAGTCATTAAAACAAGTGTAATTAGTTAATTACTTATAGTATTAACAAGATTATTATATGTAATAATGATTGTGATAATAATGTTTGTTCTGTTGAGATCCACACACACAGAATTAATACATTAATAAACAAGATGTAGAAAAAGAGATTTTATTGAATGTTAATTCAAATGTGGAATGATTGAAACCAGAACTCTTTTGATCAGAAATGTTTATATATATATATATATATTACAATGAATAGACGAATACAATGTCTGGTTGGTTACCTTTTAGTGAGAAAAATTTCTATCTAAAGCAGTTTTATTAATAGAGCAATGCACAAACAAATACACACACACACAACATACTAACATACATACACCATTTGATCTTAAGAAATAAATGGAATGATTATTATGATTATTTGTTGCCTATATACATGTATGTTACTTTTGTGCGTTAGTTATCATTTTGGTTTGTGTATCTATCTATCCATATATATATATTTGAATTTGCTTATGGGGGCGGTTAGTAGGGTTGAATATAATATAGTTTTAAAATTCTCAAGTTGGATTGGTTTTTCTAATTTTTAAGATAATTGTGCTTAAAATGTGCTAACAACAAATATCAACTTTTTATAATATATATGAACTGGATTGTACAGGCAATATATATTTTATCCAATTTATGATCGTTTGTTTGTCTCTTAGATAAGGAGTCTGAATTATATATGTGTATTCATCTATTTACTAATCATGTGTGCTTCTGTGTATAGCATGAATGTTTGTGTGTGTGTATATTTCAAATCAAGGAAATATACATAATGGAACTAATTTGAACACCCTGGGATCATATCATCTCATTACAACACATACATACACACTTTATATTTCACTACAATTTATTACCATTAATATTAGTTACCAAATCAAAAAGAAGCTTTATCATCTATTTTTACTTACGAAGGGGTTTTTATTGTTAATAGATTAGTGAGAGGAAATGTTATTTCACACTTCTTTTTTAACCAATCGTTGAATTGTATTTAAAAAAGAAGGGAGAAAGTGAGAAAACTTTACATTTCTAATGAAATGAAAATCTAATGTTGTTATCTCATTAATGTGACACAATATTAGAATGTATGGATAGAATATGGTTAATTTCATAATCATAGTAGTATAGAAAGAAAATCGATAAAATTATGATATTTTACATTCAGTATGATTCTATAGTGAAGTTTAACCCTGTTAAATGGTGGTGGTGATGATGATGATGATAATGAAAAGCAATCAGAAAAAACTGTGAATTTGTCAATTGGATTACTAAAAGTATTATCGTTAAGCAAAAACTATGATCGTATCGACATATATAGACGAAGTATGTTAGGCAGAGACGAATGGTGACTAGCTATGGAATTCAAGACGGGCATACAATCCCAGATTTAGACCTGTCAGCTGCATGTACCATCATTTCAGAGCTCATGTTCACTCCAGTATTCGTACCCAGTACCATCCGCTTCAAATGTTTGTGTTATGTAATTAGCCACTAGTTCGTGCAATGGGGGGAATATTAATTCATTTTTGCATTGACCGTTTGAATTTTCCTATTGACGTTTAGGACTGCAGTTGAACAGTCTCGATATTGCTAATAACTCACAAGCATTATAAACAGAGATGAACGGTAGCTATCAGCGAGACCCAGGATGCGCGTTTTGTTCAGTTTAGTAATTACTGACAATATTGAGTCAGTTCGTGCAGGATTCACACATCACCAATTACAGTCTTGAACATTAACGGGAAGATTCGACACAATGATTACAAAAATAAATTAAAATGGACGAGGTATTTGTTACAAGAACGATGATAATCTTCAGAAAAATGTGTAGAACTGACAATTCTTAGGGGCCACGCTCGGAGCATTTGACCTAAAGGTCTGACCCACAAGACAGTCACATGGTAGCCGGTGACCAAAAACTGGTTCACACCCCACTTGTTCCCTCAGGATACTGGAGTCCATGTGCACCACTGATTTGGATTCATGTTTTTCCAACTACCCTAGGTGGATCTTCCATATCCACCAAACTGGTTAAAGTGCCTAGTAGTGATTGTATACACGTGGCCATGTGAGAACATTTCGAGAGGGAGAGTCGATTATCCCCACCCTCGGCCTTACCATGGCATTTGTGGGCGCCACAAACTGTACTGAGACGTAACGACAGTACGTAGTTTTCCTCAGGCAACTAGTATCCGCATTTATGTTTCTTTCTAAACAAATGTGTAAATTAAAAATAGTCAACTATAAAAAGACCACACTGCACTTTTTGTCCCTTGCTATGAGGCCTAAAATGTACAGTCAACATGTCAAAAGCTGTTCATAAAAAGCAGTATTTGACCGGTCTGAAGCAGTTGTGGTAACACTCTCATGACACTGAAAATACTACTAAAAGAATTTTCCATTCATGAACCGTACTAAGTAATATCTTTCCAATTTGTAAACAACCAAAATGTCACAAACTTAAACATACCTCTGGCAGAACTCGGACTCATCGTTCGTATATTCTATATTTTTGCTTTATTTCTAAATATATCTTCTGTTTTTATTCTCAATCCCTGTCCTCTTATATCAACTATTTCCACGTGTGTCACCTGTGTTGACAATATGATTTCATGAAATGTCATTTCAGATTTATATAAACAGAATTGATGAATTCACGTCGAAGTTTTTATTATTTGAACACTATCCTAAGTCAGGAAACGAAGATCTCTGACTTGCTGGTGTAGGTAATTGGTTATTTCTAAACGTAGAGCAAGCACTTGAAAGGACTCCTGTAGACGATCGCCTATGATCATTTCAAGTAAACAATATGGTGAAGGACTCAGTAAGGCGAACAAGAAAACCGTCGCCTCTTATTTTTCCGCATACGTCTACCATTGAGGGCAGCTAGGGTCGATTAAAAGGTAGGTTTTACAATGAGCTTTCTAACCTCCTTAAGAAAGAAAGGTTCCTAGACATCCTAATTCAGATTAAAGCTATCAATAGTCATCTCTTTTTGTTATGCTCTAGATGTAAAAAGAGATACTGTCTAGTTTAATGAACAATATAACGAATGAACTAAATAGACTATACCACCCTCGAAAATTATTGGAAAAGTTTCGCACCTTCTGGACTTGTCGAAGAGGTTCGTTACAGTTAGATGCTTAACAGATCATAAACTAAAATCTCACCACGACGAAGCTTGAGTTGACTTTCAAATAACTACAACTGCATCAATAACGTTTGTTAGCAACGTAAACCAAAATGTTGTGCAAAATTAGTGGATTTAGGAATCTCCAGTGAACTGATTGCTCCACAGGAGCTCATTCTGGAACGTTCGAAGGATCAAGGAGAGCAATAACTATTCAAGCATAGAGTCAAAGCATTTGCTTAAATATCGTAAGCACGTGTGGAAAACAAATTTAAAAATATGGAAGATGAAGTGCTGATAAGTAGCACTAAGCAAATATCAAGAACTTTAAACAAAATGTTAACTGTTAGAGCAACAAGAGACTGAACTGTGATCCATTTTTAATTCAGAAGATTAGATTGCTGGACAGAATCTTTTAGGAAACAATTTAACTGGTCATCAGTTGCCCATTATTTCTAAACAAACAGCAGAAAACCTAAATATTCCTTTCAACTCTTATTAATGTTTAGAAGGCTGTGTATAACTTGATGGGAGGGAGGACAATATGATTTGATGCGTTAACTCTGAAAACCTTTAAAGTTGGTAGATTAATCTTAGTAGTCAATTTGTCTGGGATACCAGCTAGAGTTAGGCAAACACGCCTAATCCCGTGCGACTAGTCTCGATTGTTGATCGCTCCAATTAAGAAAAAGGGCAGATATCTTCTTGTGATAACCACAGGGAAATTAATTTGACCAATATATTGTCTTTACTCATCCGACCCTTATCTGGTACATGGGAAATATCAGAGCCAGTTTTAAGTTAGACCTAAACGTGGACATATTAATCAAATTTTCTCTCTTCATCAGGTTCTAGAACATAGACATACGTACAGATGTCTGACTATAGTTATATTTGTTGATTTGAAGGCACCAGTGGACTCTGTCGACCGGAAGGTTTTTTGCCAGGGCTTTTCATCGAAAGGCATATCGAAGAAGTACGCAAACCATGTGAAATATATTTATGATTGCTGCTTATGATGAAGAGTCATCGGTGTTCTTATCTACAAACAGTACCATTAAGGGCGGTTAACTATACCTATCCGTATTTATTTTCTCTATAGATGTCTTCCTACAAATCACATTATCTGAATATTAGTATTCTGAGACTAATCTACTTTCTATAGACTCACTCACTGATGAGAAGTAGGTAAATGATATAGTCCCATTAGGCAAATAAAATGATGAGATTGTAGTTCTACAAACACCTTAAGTAACATTATCAACATATTTCAGTTGTATTTCTTCCCTTTAAATCCAGAATATTTCTTCAGGACTGATATATATCATCATCTAGACTGACAACAGAAAATGAGACAGCTAAGCGAAGTAACTACTTTAATTATCTCAGAATTCTTACCAATCATGGTGTGTTTTTGCTTTACAAAATCTTATCACGAATTTAGAAACCTCACTAGATTTTCATCAAATTATGGCACATATCGACTTTTATTATTTTCTTTCATTTCAAAAACTATTCTGACAAAAAATCAGAACCATTCACTGAATCAATCTCTTGTTTGAATGTCTAAATAGGTAAATCCTATTTACGGATAATTAACAATTTTTCCCACGTGTAGTGACTATGATATGGAGAAGAACCATTAATTAAATTTTATAATAATAATAATAATAATAATAATATTCTAAATGGAATTGTTCTGTAACGAATTCAACCTACAAATCAGACAAATCCGTACGATCCCCCCTCTAATTGAAACTATAAAGGTAACCTTGTTAATGAATTATTACAACATGCTCCTGATTACTCATGATAAATAGTGTCTGTTGGAATTTAGGCATGTCA